GCCTGAGCCCCAGCACCGGGGCCACCTCGGAAGGGGAGCTTCCGGCGCCCTGGCCCGGCCGGACCTCGTGTTGGGGGGAATTTGCGGCCCGAGCCGTTACGATAGCCATAGGGGCGCTGGGGCCCGGCCTCGCCGCGGTCTCTGCGCCCTGCGGGGAGCAGGCCGGGGCCGTGTGGGTTCCTGACCGCCCGCCTCTGGGTTCTTGTCTTGCAGATTTCTCCACCCAGGTGAACTCCTCTTCCCTCAACTCCCCCACGGGGCGTGGCTCCATGGCCGCCCCCTCACTGCACCCCTCTCTCGGGCCCGGCATCGGCTCCTCGCTCGGCTCCCCCGGCCAGCTGCACTCGCCCATCAGCACCCTGAGCCCCCCCATCAACGGCATGGGCCCACCATTCTCGGTCATCAGCTCCCCCATGGGCCCCCACTCCATGTCAGTGCCCACCACGCCCACCCTGGGCTTCGGCACCAGCAGCCCCCAGGTAAGTGCAGAGGCGGGTCCCGTCCTGCGGACCCTCGGGGGGTCCTCTCCCCACTTTATGTCTGGGAAGTCGAGCCTCAGAGCGAGCGATGGCTTCGGCCTGAGTTTGAGCCCGGGTCTGGCTGACTCCCCGGCCCTCGACTCTCCGAGGTCATCAGCCGGCCTCCCCGCTGCTGGTCGTTTACTCCAGTGTGCCCCCCCCTCCCCCCACCCCGTGGGGGGCTCCCTTGCTCCCCTGACTCGGAGCTCTGTAGGGCGGGGTGCCGCCTTCCTCAGCATTCACAGCCACCCACCCCCCTGAGCCCCTGTCCCTTCTCGGCCCTTCCCTCCTGGCCGACGCGCATGCCCACACCAGGTGGTTCCGGCGCCCCGGGCCCAGAGCCCGGGGTGGCGTGTCCAGGCTCTGTGCCGATGTGCCCTCCTCAGGCCGGGCCCCAGGCCCCACGGTGGCCTCAGCTCATCTGTCAGGGCTCGGTGGGATTTTCCACGGGCGTGGGTTTGGAATAGTCTGGCTTTCAGGGTTGTCTCTGAATCAGGAAGGAAGTGGTGCCTGGCAGGGCCTGGCTCGGTCTGGTTCTTGCCGTGGGGACCGTGGGGGCCCAGTCCACCCTCCCCTGGGCACCTGTCGTCCAAACCCCTGCAGAGCTGTCCAGAGCTCTTCTGGAGATCCCTGGGTGGTGACGGGTCCCCGGGGCCCAGCGGGGTGTCCTCTCTCCCAGCTCCGTGCGTTTCCTGCTGGGTTTCTTGCTGGGTGGCCAGGGGGCCTGCCTGAATCCCAGCGGGACCTCCCTCTCTCTGGGGCTCGAGCCGTCCTTCTTGAAATAGGTCCGAGTCCAAGGCTGGGTTCGGCCGAGATGACAGCCCCGTGGTGGAGAGCCTTGGGGCACATCTCCACGGAGCCTCAGGACAGCCTCCTGGGGAGAGACTTGGGCGCAGGCTTCCCTGCCCAGAGCCACACATGCCCTCGTGACAGCCACATCCTATGGGCTCCCAAGCCCCTGCCTGCGGGGCAGTCCCCTTTGCTGCTGGCCCCGGGGTACCACCGAGCTGGAGCCAGCCCACTGCCCCTCTCGCTGGGCCTCCCTCTAGAGCTGGCCTTGGGGGGAGAATCTTGCTGGCTTTTCCAGAGTGACCTTGTCAACCTCTTGTGTCTGGGGGACGGGAGCAAAAGAGCTGGGGTCTCAGGCGTCAGTGCAGAGCTCCCATGCTCCGCTCGGGTCACCTGGTCCCCGGAGCAGGCAGGAGGCCTGAGGTGCTGGCCTGAGGGAGGCTCGGCTGCTTTGCCGGGCCTGGCCAGGTTATTTTTAGCACAGCCGCCCCACCCCCACTCTTGCTGGCTGCACAGCGAGCCAGGGGGCAGATGAAGACCGAGTGTGCACCTGCCCCCCTGGGGACCGCGACAGAGGCAGGCACCTGCTGGCCCTCAGCCCCATGAGGCTCCTTGCTGGTCGTAGGCCTACCACCTGCCCTGGACACCCTGAGGGCTCGTGTACAGCAGGAGCCTGGGCGTGGCAGTGGTGTTCCCCAGACCTTGGGGTCACCTGCCGCTTGGCACTGTTTGCCCATCTGGGAGCGAGGGCGGGGTAGTACTGGGGAGCGAGGGGTTTGGGGGACCACATCTGTCCTGTTCTCTCTTATGCTCAGCACCCAGCCAGGTTCCTGGCGCTTGGCGGTGCTGGTTGAACCCAGGTCGCGTGTGAGTGAGGGGCCCCAGGCCCCTTGAGGCTGATGAGGGGATCGGGGCAAGACTCAGGCCTGGGAGAGGGTGTGGGGAGCAAGCCCGCTGTGCCCCAGATGGTCACTGCTGTCCTGTGGCCACCCGTCCCACGTGTCCCTCTGTCCATCAGTCAATCGCGCCACAGTGAGTTTTGCCACGGTCTGAGCCGCGCACTCGGCCTCCCCCGTGGCTGCCCGTCCTGGCGAGGCCTCGGTTTCCCGGTAGCGCCTTCCCGGAGTGAGTGGAGCTTCTGGGCTTCAGCAGCTCATCCTGGAAACCTGGGGTTCCCCATATTCACAAAGAGTGTGGGTGGAGTTCAAAGGGGGGCATGCCCCACCCTCTGCCCCAAAACCACAACCGCGAAGTCACGGTTGGCGGAACCGGCGAGGTTCTCCGATTCCTGCTGCCGGAGAAGGGCTCGCGCCCTGCCGAGGGCTGCCTGCTTGAGTCCACGCAGCCCACAAGGCCCGCCAGCGCCCCCGGTCTGCCTCGCTTCGCCCTCCCTGCCCAGAAGCGGGTGCCTGGGGGTCCAGATCCCAGGCGCCGGCCCCCGGGCTGCCCTGTGCCTCTTTCCTGGTCTGGGGGCTGAGCACAGGGCCCGGGAGCACCCCCACCGCGCCCCAGAGCCCTCTGGCCCCGCCGGGCCTGCCGTGGGCACCACAGCATGTAGCCCTCGCCAGCCCAGCAGACCTTCCCTGGTGGGGGATCTGCTCAGGCCAGTGGGCCGGCTGCCACTGCCTGCTCTTTGTCGGCAGTCCTGTGGCCGTGAGGCCTCCGAGGACAGGGCGTCCCCACGGTTTGCCCCTGCCTTGCGGGTCCTGTGAGGCAGGCGAGGCCAAGGGCCTGGTCCCGCAGCGGCAGGCCTGAGCCTCCACCCCCAGTTCTGGCCGCGGATGGGGGGGAAAGCCTGCTGTTGGCTCAGGAGGAAGAGCGTGGTGGGTGCAGAAGAGAGGAGCCTCCAGAGGCGGCAGGAGACCCTGGCGGGGCCCTGATGAGGCTGCTCGTTGTTTCAGCGAGTCCTGTAGGCTCCAGTGGGAACTGAAAAAAATGCCAAGGATATGAAAGGGGAAATAGGACTGGGCCCCGCCCTGGCCACACCACACGGCCTCCAGGCCCTAGCCAGGGGCTGTTGGCACCGTGGATGGGGTGCAGGGGGGAGGGGGCACAGCTCCTCAAAGAATGGGGGAGCCAGCCCAAGGCGCATCAGCTTGGAGCTGGGAAGGGCGAAGTGTGACCCCTGACCCCGCACAGCCTGGCCCTGGTGGCCTTATGGGCACCGTTTACTAGTTGAGGCAAAGGATCGATGTGGATGGCCCCAGGCCTGTGGTGAGTGGGGGTTGCAGCCAGCCTCGTCTCTCCACGTGTGCAGGGTCTCCTAGGGCTCCCAGAGGCTTCTGGGTTGACTGCTGTGCCCCTGGGAAGCCTGAGGCCGGGAGGGCAGGGATGCCCCCGGCACATGGCCGACAGCCACGGCACCGACTGTCCTTCCCGCCTGGAGCTCCTTCCCACGTGGGGCCCGCCCAGCCTTCCTCACTGCAGTGGCCCTGCCTCAGTTTACCTAGGGCAGTCACCAGTTCTTAGGGCCTGCATGTACACGGGGGACAGGGCAGGTGGCCTGCCACCCACCCAGCACGGTGTGGGCAAACATGAAAGAGGAAATGCCCAGGTTCCTCTCCCTGGTGCCCTCGAGTGGATCCAGCCACGTGGGGTCCTGGCCGGGCTCCCACAGCGTGGGGAAGGCTGCAGCGGGGGCAGGCCTCCTGCTCCCATGTCCTCAGTGACTCCTCCCCGTCGGCCCCCTCTGCACCCATGCTGTGCCCTTCCCGAACGGCTCAGAGGCCCCTCCCCCTGGGACCCAGCCCGAGACGTCTCCTGGAGGCCGAGTGTGTGCAGCAAGCTGCCCCTGTGTCGGCTCAGTTTTCCTGACGGCGGCCCTCAGCTTGGCCCTCGACGAACCTCAGAATGATTGAATGATTTCCCCAAAGTCGCACAGTGGATGGAAGAGGGCATAATCCGGGGGCCCTGCCATAAGCCGCCCCGTCCCCACCGAGCCAGCGAGCTCTGCAGGGCTGCGCGGGGCTGTGTGGCCTGTGTCGCTGGGCACTTAGGGAACGGTGTGTGACGGGTGGGGTCCCCGAGTGGCTCTGGGCCTGTTCCCCCTGCAGCATGCGGGCATTGCCTTGGTGCCCACCGCCTGCTACCCAGAGGCCTGCCTGCCGGGCCCCTGACCTCCTGAGCCTCCACATCCGTATCTGGGAAGGGACGGAGGGTTTTCCACATGGCAGAGGCAAACGTGTCTGGCGCACCTGGGCACAGGAGCCCTGCGCAAACGGCCCCTTCTCTGTCCCCTTTCCTGTGGGAAACGCTCCCAGGCCTGGGGACGGTGCGCAGAGAGTGCCCTGGTGCCACTGGACAGGCCGCTCTGGTCCGTGGCGCCCTCTCACGTGATGGCCCCCAGGGGTTTCTCAGGAGCCCCCCGGAATCCCGGGTGGGGGGTGGGGGGTGTGGTCAGTGCACTCAGAGTCACAGGGCCCCGGGCGGGGGAGGGGCCCAGAGCCACGGGGGCTGGAAGGACCCTCCCAGCCTCCCAGGCCGGGGTGGAAACAGGCATTGGGGGCCTTCTGCTTTGTGTGCTCGGAGCACCAAGTTCTCGCTGCCCCGTGAGAAAGCGGTGGAGGTCGGGGGCCGTGGGGAAGGAAGGAGGTGAGGTTCCCGCTGGCAGGAGGGGCCCGGGGCTACCCGGGGGCAGCCAGGCGCCTGCTGTCCTTCCCCAGAGACGCGCACACTGCCCGGTTTCCGCCTTTGTCAGGGGTTTGCAGAAGTGGGGGGCCGGGGGCCGCCGGGCGGGGGTCCTGGCGCCAGTGGAGACAGGCCAGCCCGTGGGCGCAGCAGGAAGCACCCCTGGGCCCTAGCGCTGCCGGGAGAGCTGGGGTGGATGCAGCGGAACCAAAATTGCTGTGTCATTGCAGCGGCAGCTGTTGCCAGGGTGACGGTGAGGTTCCCACGCTTCCTCC